GACCAAGACCAAAATCAGACCAAGACCTGGAGTCCTGGTGTGAGTCCTGGTGAGAGACCAAGACAAAGTCCTGGACGGACCAAGACAAAGTCCTGGACAGAGTCTAATTATCGCCGTCTCAGCCCGATAGTAAGTCCTCCTCGGGCTCCACTTCCACTTGGAATATCTTCTCCAAGACCTTCTGCACCCACTTGACCTCGAAGGATTTTGACCTAGACGCGAGAGACCCACTGGGGTACCACCTCTGGAGACAGGACTGAGTCCTGTACAAGTATCGCTCCAAAAACTCTGGAAATGGCTCGCCAGGCAGCTCTTCCCGAAGACTGGTGGTGTAAGCTGTCCACCAAATAACCGTCATCTGACGGATCATTTTTGGCGGAAGACCGACCCGTCCTTTGATCAGGAGCATCTCTAGGTCGTCACGACCCCCTTCGAAAGACACGGCCATGACCTGCAGGCGCTTGTTCAGCGATAAGACCTGGCCTTGGCTGTAAGACCTGGCCTTGGCTACAAGACCTGGCCTTGGCTATAAGACCTGGCCTTGGCTGAAGAGACGGCTGCAGACATCATGTTGAAGTGTTTGCGGGATATCCCGTGTGTCTTGCCCCTACCAGCACAACAACTACTAGACAACAGAAACAGCTACTACGAATACCACCACTACTACTACTACTACTACTACTACTGCTGCTACTGCTACTGCTACTGCTACTGCTACTGCTGCTACTACTACTACTACTACGACTACTACTACTACTACTACTACTACTCCTACTACTACTACTCCTACTGCTGCTGCTGCTACTGCTACTCAATCAATGTGTTCACAGTCACATACTGCTACCACTACCGCTACCAAAACCAGAAAAGGAGCCGGAAAGCCAGTACGAAGACTATCAGTCTATCAGTAAGTGACCGAGTATTACCTATAAGTACTACCACTACTATACCTCCTCCTCCTCCTCCTCCTCGTATATACTAGTAACTACTGCAACTACTAGTATTACTGCTATTTACTGCTACTGCTACTACGATTGTGCATGACAACAACAACAACATCAAATACTGCCACTAATACTAATATTTCAGTACCATTTTTTCTACCGCTGCTATGATTACTTCTACCTTAGTGCACCTACTACTAAATACTACTATTCCTAATACTGCCAGTAATACAATTACTGGTACTCTTGCTTCCTGCTACACGAGGACTACTACTACTGTGCAGACCAAAATAAAAAGACCCCAAGACCTTTGCCGTGAATCCCAAACCCCGCATATCCAACGACCTGCGAAGAAGTTCAGACCTTCTGAAAGAACAAGCACAACCTTCCTAAACCCAAAGACCTGTGAACAAATCCAAAGCGGCTCCTAAGGACAGACATGACATGAACCTGGGATTGCTCACGAAACGAAGTCAATGATATGTTGAAGGTTGTTGTGGAAAGTTCGTTTGGTGACATCCCTCGAACATAGACAGCTATTGGCGAGTTGAGACCCACAGACCCTTTCAAACATATACAGCTATTGGCGAGTTGAGACCCACAGACCCTTTCAAACCTTTACAACTATTGGCGAGTTGAGACCCACAGACCCTTTCAAACATATACAACTATTGGCGAGTTGAGACCCACAGACCCTTTCAAGCATATACAACTATTGGCGAGTTGAGACCCACAGACCCTTTCAAACATATACAACTATTGGCGAGTTGTTGAAACCCACAGAGACCCCATGAAATAAAAAATGTTCCAAAGGTCTACTGTTACTACTACTGACCATGACGAGGACTACTAACTACGACTGCTTTAATTTCTTACTGCTACCTGGACGCCTACTACTGCTACTGCTGACTACGAATTTCCAAAACGAACAAGACACTTGCTGGCCTGGGTCCAGACCTCCCGGCAAAGAAGCTCACTGTTCTGGTTGCAGACCTCGGCTTTGGTGCTGATGCATTGCCTGCCTCCCTTCAATAATAATAATGTCTTGCAAATGTCAATCTAGACTGAGACCTCAGGTTCGATCCTTGACCGGAATGGACCCCACGACAAGAACGACTGTGTATGTATTACATATTATTATATATATATATACATATATGTATTAAATAAGTTATATATCTGCATATGTACGTATATACTTTTTATTTATTATCAAACCAAAGGCAAGCAGCTGCGCCTGCCCCGGCACGACATTGGCCAGTGACATTCTGACCTGGGCAACATGGCAGTCAGAGACTCAGACCCGTGAGCTCTTGGATCGAATAGGAAAATGCATACAATCGCAAAGCATACGTTGTTTTGCATGGGTCCTTCTCACTGGTCCATCAGACAATCGAATGAAGCTGTCAGTCTGCAGCGTGGTCCACCGAGACAGTCTGATAGCGCCCTAAGCCATTCCAATTAATATTATGCTTCAGCCCAGACCTGTCGCAGACATGTGCTTGGCCAGTGGTACCGTGCTGCTAAAGGAAAACTGAGGACTGTGTCCCAGTGGCACGCCAATCTTAGACCCAGCCTCGGTCCACCCGAGCAGGCTAGCGACGGATGCACACACTAGAAGGACCAAAAGATTGGAAAGCCCAAATGGCCAAAAGCTATCAATAATTGATGTCTCTGCCAGGTGGACCAGTCATTAAAAAGAGAACTTTGAGGAGACCAGACCTCCAGGGCTGCTCGTACATCGGTGCCCTCGGTGGCACACATCAAAATTTGCCTTGCAGACCAAAGACCACGAAGCAAGTTGCAAACACCGAAAGTGGATTGAAGTATAGTGTTTAAACATTGAAAGCCCAAATGATGGCCCGAAGCTATGAATCATTCTGCTGGGGGTGGCCCGGTCCGACAAGACCATGACCCTGCAGAGACCAGAGTCCAGAGGCTAGAACGAGCACATGCGGCACACTTCCCGGCTGAGCAGTTAGATCTTGGGATAGCATCAAGACCTAAGACCTCACTCCGGCGGCGTGGCCGGATTAGCCTGATTCTTCCCAGACGAGACCGGGTTGGCCTCCGTCGGGAAATGGCTGTTGAGGAGACCTGCAAGGTCCTCCTGCCAGAGAGGGTGCTCTTTGCAACAGATGTGGCGGATGGCTTCTCGATCCGACAGTCTCTCAAGAAACTCCGTGTGCTGATCAGACAATGTTAGACCATGATACCTGATGTTTCTCGAGAGACAGGCCGCCATTAGGGCCGACGAAGGAGACAGGTCACAGACCATGGCGATCTGGTAATTGTCCAAGATGGCCTCGTAAAGCCCAGAGCACTTCGTCTCAGACCAGAACATCGGAACGTTCTCGCCGAAAGACCAGTCCTTGGGCCACCTGGGTTGCAAAGAAAGGAACACCAAAAGACTCGGGAGACCTTCCCCTTTCAGACCTCATCTCTCCTGTGATTCAGGCTGCCAGGTGACTTGTCTTCGTCCCTAGGCAAGTCCAAGCCCAAGACTTTGGCCTTGACCTTGAAGGGGACTCGCGGGAGACCCTCAGTCTCGGGGTACGGCACCTTGACATACGACGTGTAGGCCGTGCTGTCCTCGCCCTGGATCCTGTAGTCGTCCTGGGGCAAGTTAGTAGTAATTAAATATCATAATTTAACCGAAGTAAGCTCAAACTCAACCGCAGCCCCATCCGGGTCCTCGCGGGCCTGAGACTGAAGACGGATCCGCTGTGGGCCCAAGATCATCACCGCGATTTCGTGGTTTTTCTGAGACCCGAAGACTCGTCTGGAATGTGTCTTGTGGAACTTTCCGGAATAGGTGATAGACAACTCGACCGTCTCCTTCGAGTCCGTGGTGTCCTCAATCCTGGGTATCTCAGACCAGGATCAGAATGCATTACATAACTACGAACTCCCAAGCACAAGCTGAAACATCAAGCCCTGACGGGGCCTGGAGAACTGACCCTTGTGAAAGTCACTGCCCTCACAACATCCCAGACCTCAAAGCCCTGGATGATATTTTTTCGTTGGTTTCACCTCCTAGAATGTGTCGTACAAACTTCCCCTTCAAAAGGCAGCCCCAACTACTGTGTTAAGTTCAAAACAGGAACAATCCTGCTTGCATGTTGTAAACATAGTATCAAAGGACCAACTAATACCAGGAGGCCAAAAGAAATGCCTTAGCCTTAATATATTCTGATTCTCCGAGGGACAACCTGCGGACGTCGCGAGACCTTCCGTCAAAGACCAGACTCATCTTGTTGCCCGAGACCTCACTTACAAAGGCCAGCTTGTCCTTGAAAAGGTCCAACATGGGGGAGGCCTTACACTTCGCCGGTCCAGACCAGCCCTTTTCGCCCTCGAAGCAGAGGTCCGCAGCAAGATGGAAGAGCATAAACTTTTTGTTCATCTCCCCAGTGAAGGAGACACAAGGCGACGCTTTGTAGGCTGCATCCAGGGAAGACCGTTTCCAGTTCGTCAAAGACGAGTAAGAGACCAGACTCTTCCGGACTGTGCTGGCCCTGCTCCAGACCTCCTGGTCAGATTTTTAAAAAACTACTTAAAGATAACAGCCAAACAAAACTGCTCACATGCTGACGCACTAATTCCACACTCCTCGCGCTCTTGCTTCTTGAACATCTTCCTGAGATCGGCATCCTGCTCTGTGTCGTGCCCGATCTCCATCAGCTGCTGCCAGCTCATGGCTGGCGCTGGGGTGTCGCTTGCGACCTGTTCAAAGACCTTCATGGCCTCACGCAGTTCCTTGGCCACCTCCAAGTCCCCAGAGACCAATGCCTTGCTGATGTCGCTCTCAAGAGACAACTTTCTGAGGCTGCCTAGGTTGGAGGCTCTCTTCAATTCAAGTTGACAATGAACACAAACAATCCTGAGATTATCGTCATAAAAATGCCCGACTCAGTTGCTCATCAGCTGGCCGTCTGCCAGCGAAAAGGCCCAGTCCACCAAGGGGTCGAAGTTGGCCTTCTGTCCGGTGTATGTGACGTCTTTCAGCGATTCCTTGACCCGGTCCAAAGTCATGTGGGAGGCCTCGTCATAGGTAGTGGCCGGTGGGTCCTGAACAACTCAAAACCAACAATGAGGAAGACTGTCCTGCCTATCTGTCATAACATGAACTCGTTTTCACATGTAGCAGCCAGCCCTGAGCTCTGCACGCTTGCGAAAGACAAGTCCAGCTCCAAGCGGAACTTCTGCGGGTCCAGCAGTCTGCTCAAAGCCTCCTTGACCGATTTGGGGCAATCGTCCAGAAGCCCCAGACTCTGGTTCGCATTGAAAGCAACGCTAATCTGGGTCAGACAAAGCGAGACGATCGGCACATCATCCGCATTGGTGATGTTTTGTGCGTCCTTGCCCTCCTTGCCAGTGAGACCTTCGCCCGTTAGCTGGGAGGTCTTCAGGATCTCCAAGTCCAAGGCATTCGCGATCTGCGACAAGACCAGACTCAAGATATTGGCGGTGTTCTCCCCGGGAAGTCGGCTCGACGTGAGTCGGCTGATCATCAAAATGATCTTGTAGAGTTTGCCAACCTGCTCGGTCAAGACCGACGTCCCATACTTGGAAGACAGGTAGACCAGGGTTTGCCGTGCCTCTGGCGACATGTGCCGCTGAATGGATTCGGCTGCCACCAAGACATTCTTGTTGATTGCCCTGCCCTGGAACAAGACCCCGTCCTTCTTGAGACGGTCCAAGACATCCTGCTGTTTCTGCACTTTGTAAGACTTTGTCAAGACCACCAGCCTCTCGCAGAAAGCCATCAAGCTGTCGTTGCTGGCCTGCAAATTTCTCAGCGCTTCAGAGGAAGCAATGCATAGACGAGCAAGCTGGCCGTCCGAGTCCACCAGATGTATCTGAATGGTGGCTGTGAGACCGGCCTGCCAGAGACGAAGCAATCGATCATCAGCGCTTTCCTGGAGGGCCTCGTAGACCGAAAGCCACCAGGCATAGAGTGGCAAGTGGCCGCTGATGAGAGACAAACTCTGTGGAAAGTCCTTGACCTTGCCCAGCAATGGGTCAATGACCGAGACCATGCACTGAATCACATTCGGGTACAAGATGCGCCCATCGTGGTAGACATCACTGGCCTGAAACAGACTTTGCGCCTCGACCATCTGCGAATACGTGAAGTCCGAGGGCTTGATCACAGACCCATACTCCTGGGATTTGCCTTCCGGTGGAGCCGGAAAAGGAGACATCCACAAAATGGAGCCACCGGCCTCGTAGACCTTGGACCTCTGAAGGCTCCGAACACAGTTGCCACCGTTAAACATCTCCTTGTAAGAGTGGACCCTGGCCTTCTTTTGAGGGGATTCGCCCTGGCTGGCTGCTGGCAAAGTCAGCGGTGGAGCATGGCAGATGTCAGAGACCGTGCTCTTCAGCAAGTCCTTCTCAACCAGCCATGTCCTCAGACGGATCTTGACCTGCAGCAAAGGAGAGGTGCTGGAAAGGCTTGCTGCAAAGTTCATTGATTCTCTAAGGCGACCAACCCAATGCAGATTCTGGCAACAAGCCCAAGGCCTCAGGAACCAGAAGCTGCACAATCTGCAGAGCGGACACAGTGTGAGGTTTCGATACTGCGGAAGCCAGCTCAGCAGCCAAGTTCGGAGAAGGCATGGCTTAGACTGTCCGTGTCCAGACCAAACCAAGAAAGACTACTAACTGCTAGACCAAGACAAGAGCGTCCTTGAGCAGTAGTATTGCGAATCAATGGTTAAGTTCTGCTCGGCTGCAGCGTGCACTGCAACAGGGCCCCCCAAAACTGCACAGCTCTACGGCAGGCTCCAAGCACCTGCTGAGGCTCAGGCGATGCTGCAGCAGCCAGCACCCAGGTCCCCGGTAGCCTTTGGCAGGGATAGGCTCCAGTCAAGGCTTCTGGCAGCTTGCCAGGCTCGGAATGCTTCCAGTTAAGCATTTTAGAAGCCAGCCCCTTAGATCTAGGCATTTAAAATTACCTCAGCGTTTTTATAAAAACGCTGAGGTAATTTTTATGGATATCAACATAAATTACCTTTTTACAACAAAAAACCCAAAAAAGGTAATTTATGTTAATATCTGTAAAAATTACCTCAGCGTTTTTATAAAAACGCTGAGGTAATTTATGATAGAAATCCAAAAAAATTACCTTTGCCGACCGCCTCAGACCACAGCAACAGTCCGAATCTGCCCGTAGCTGCACATCTGCCTACACTGCCCTGCAAGCTTTGAGAAGCCCTGAGACTACCCTGGACCCAACTGCAAACTCGTGAGCACGAGAACACCTGCACTGTCCCTTGCGACCCAGGAACCCTGAAGAAGCCTCGAGGCCGGAAACTACTAGAGACCCAAAAAACCCTGCCCGCCATGCCCTGCAACCCGGAAAGTAAGTAACCCAGGAACCCAGAAGAAGCCTCGAGGACGAAAACTACTAGAGACCCTAAAGACCCTGCACGCCATGCCCTGAAACCCGGAAAGTAAGTAACTATGTCTGTATCTATCTGCGGGCTTTGTCGACTGAAGGTAGACCTACAAGCCCTGAAGGCCACAGATTAGTAGGGACCCTGCAACCCCAGCCGCCGGTTTGAAGCCTCAATAAGTAACTACTAATCTGCGAATCTGTCAACCCTTGAAAACGCGAACCTCCGAATTCCGAAACTGGCTTAGCCTAGCTTTAAGCCGGCAATTCTGGACTATAATCATACATCGTACAAGACCACCGTCCCAAACCGAAAATGCTGCACAAAGACTAGTGGCATGATTACTGAGCAGCCATGTTAAAGTCTGTGGTTTGAAGATCAGCACCCCCGGTTTAAACTTTAAACACCCATGCAAAGCCAGCAATGCAGCAGAAAACACATCAAGGCGCCCGCGTTCCAGCTACGTCCTGCCATTACCAGACCTGGGCAGTCAGACAAAATGCCCAGACCACACGGAACCTGAATTGAAATTCCCAAAGCCGAAATCTGAAAGGCTAAACCCGAAAGTACTGGGTTCGGGGTTTCATGTTTAGTAAGGATAATTTTGCTTTACCGTTATTATTAAGTCTGGTTTGTGCAGCCTAAACCCAAACCATTCTTCCGGGTTTAATGTTGGGAGTTCAGGTGTGTTTTGTATTTGCTCTAAAAGTAGCCTGTGCTTGGCCCTAAACCCCACTGTTTAATTACTCTTAGGGTTGGTTTAATAGGGTGTCTTTTCGCTTGGCTTCCGGGCTTAGGGTCTAAGGGTATTGGCAGGGTTTAAGTGTATTGGCAGGGTTTAATATTTAGCCTACCGAAATTTCTGGGGAATGACCAATGTGTCTTACTTGGGATCATGTTAGTATTCTTGTTGGTGCTTAGATGGTCTTAGGGCCTCACAGATCTCCAGCCCAGCAGGAGTCGAGACGGGAAGCAGCAGAAGAAGCAGGGCAAGCGGCGCCAGCCTAGGGAAACCAGAAATGATGGAACGAGATGACATTCAACTCTTAGTGCTTATCTGCTGCTGTGATTCACTGTGATTCCATGATGGTGTGACGGGTTCGGGATCTTAAGTGGACCTAAACCGTAAAACCCTGGAGTCCAAACCATCCCTGAGAAGGCAGAACTAATGGGGAGCATGAGCAGAGCAGCACAGCAGGGCAGCAGAGAAGGAAAGAGCAAGAACAAGGCTCGGCAATGTCGAGGTCGAAATGGCACGGTGGCCATTGTCAGAGCCGTCGAAGTCCGCATCTGCGTTCATGAAGACGGCCTCGCCGGGGCTGGCGTGCTCGGAGTCTTGCAGACTCTTGAACTTGAAGGCGGACTGCTGTCGATGCGGACCGTCGCTTCCAGGCCATCGCTTTCGTCCACCCGGAGTTCCGCGGATGGTCTGAGGAGAAGCCTGGTCCTGTCTTCCCAGAAGGGCAATGGAGTGATGGTGAAAGCCCTTTCACAAACCACAAGTTCTTGGTGAACTTGGTTGTCATGATAATGCCCACCATGGGCCCGGAGTTCACCACAACGGAACCAGAGCTGAGTGAACACTCAGTTTTCGCTCCCATGATGAGGGTCGTCAAGAGGCCCACGCCATAGTCTGCCGCTCGGTCACAGCGAGGCTGCTTGCTCGCAGTCGCGGCTGAAAGTGGGGGAAAGTGGGGAGATGCAATTCTAGTACGGAACAACCCTACAGGAGACAGAACTCTTATATCTGAAGGTCCTTGATACCGATCTGAATTAGAGGCCTCAATGAAATAGTGTAGGGTTCCTGGATTCATGCGCGGCCTTTGCTTGTGCGTATGCCAGTCGGTGACGAGATTCTCTCTTGGAAGGGCCCAATACATTCACTTATAGTCATAGATAGAAATCAGAACCAAACCGTCGGTTTGCATCCCTTGACTGTCTCCTTCTTGCCCAGGATGAAGCAACTGTGGGGCTAGGGGAGGCCTAATGTCTTTAATCCGATCCCATCCAAGCCGTACTCCCTGCTGAACAAACAATCACCAAATCTCATAAAGACCTAAGACCAAACTCCCTGCAGGCCAACCCTGCAAGGGTGTCATAAATCCGAATCCTGTTTCCGAGTGTCTGACTGATCCCAGGACATCTCTCGGCAGCTTGGACAGGCAGAAGGCGGCCTGACCGATCATTGGGTTCAGACCGTTGAACCAGGAATCATCCGACACAGGCACTGCAGAACTCGAGCCCCTGGCCGTTGAAGTCGGACACTGCAACATAATGTCTATGCAGACCTGTAACAATAGCATTGTATCACAGCAGCTTGGGTGCTGACGTTCACTAAATTCGCCCCACACTAAGCCCTGCCATCACGTTTCAACATTGACAGCCGCACTGCAGAGTCGAGCAAATCATGTAACAGCAGCTAGGCCTTCTGTCATCCTGGAATGCCATGACGTCCCATGGAGATGTTTCTGTCCGAGACCTGGCAGCGGCACACGGGCGACGGCGAAACAGTTTGAATTTGAGAAAAGCTGCACCTGCCCATTTTGGCACCGAAGATAATGATGCACGCAAGTCTTAAAAGACAAGGAGAACCGATGTCCCTTGCAATGTCAATGTAAAACTGTGCCAGACCAACCCAACCTTCAACAATAATACTAAGACTAAGACCCTTAAGTTACTTTAGATTCCCAGCATGGTATATCTGTGGATTTCTAAGACCTGTCATGTCCGGTGGCCTGGTGCACTCCGATTCAAATATCTGACCCAGACATGACTTATGTCCTGAGTCCTGGCCCTTAAACTCGAGGCAGACTTAACTTGAAGTCCTGGGTCCTGGACAGACTTAGACTGCTAGGCCATCGGCTGCCGGAGACGATTCAGCCGGCGGCAGCTGCTCAAGGGCTTCATTGACCTGGGCCAGCTTCGCATGTGTCTGCAAGTGACCTTCCGCAGCCCTCAGACCGTCCGTCGCGATCCTCTTCTGCTCCTTCGTGAGCCGGGCCTGTTCCTCCAACATGACCAAGTCGCGGTCTAACTCCGAGACCGCTTTGGCAAAGTGGTCCACGTTCATTTTGGCAATGTGCTGCTTCAACGGAATCCGAGACAAGACGTTTAGACAGACCTCGGCCTTCACCACGACCGTAGTCCCGGACTGTCTCGAGACCGGTCCGACCCAGAAGTCCTTGGAGAGAGAGATTGCATTACATTACTTGTAATTTTTCAACTAAACATGTAAATCCTACTGCAGTTGGTATCGAAATTTTGGTATTCATTACCTCATCTCCCTTCAACTTCTAGGTGCAGATACCTATTCGTTCACTAGTCGGGCCGCCTCCATCTCGTCGTCCGATGGTTTAGGTTTACAGGCTTAGTTTCCCCTTAGGACTCTCCGTCATGCTTCATTCTCTCCTTCTCTCGCTCAATCTTCGATCGTTGTTCGACTTAGAACTATCATTATTGATTCACCGTCGATGCTGAGGCTCGCAAAGAGGAGACCATTTCTTGCTGAAGTAGCTGCAGCCGGCCGGGTAGCTGTCGCAGCGGTGGACGTTCAGCATGATGTCTGTAGTCCCGTCCGCGGAAGACATCCAGGCCAGCAGAGCACATTTTGGGTCGTCGAAGGCCACCTCCAACCCGTGATCGTAGACCGAACCTGCAGGAAACCCCAAACAGCTGGTCTGAGTCTGAGGAGCCTAGATCAGTAAAGCGCATGCAGAAATCCAGAAACCTCTGGCCTTTGTCCAGGCAACGACTGACAAGGGCCTTTGTGACCCGCTCATTCAAGGCCGGGTCCCTGATGCTGTAAAATGTGAAGACACCGCGATCGACCGGTGGTGTGGAGACATTCAGCACGGCCTTCACGACAAAAGCGGAGTCTAAGTCCTCGCAGCCGCTGTCCCAGTCCCGGCTCAGCTTCAACTTGTGCATGATGAAATTTCCATTGCCCTTCAGATAGAGCTTGTCGGCCTGGACCTTGTCCTGAGTCCCGTTAAGAAAGCCCTCCAGAAGGATATAGTCACGAGCGACGTTGGCCACAAAGACGTCAGTCTTGGGCCTCTTTGTCGGCATGGGGT